AGCATTTTCCTCCATCGCGAAATCCATCCAATTTAGATTCCAGAATTACATTAATCTTCTTTTTCTTTTTTAATGGAAATACATCACGACTGAACGCAGATTGGAAAATCATCGCGACTTAATGACACTTCACCGAGGTCTCGAAAAATATTCGCCGATGAATCTACAATGGCGAAAACCGGTAATGTTAATCGACTCTTATGAAAGAAATAATAACCGCATTATGGCAAACAGGCTACGTGTGACTCGATATTTTTATCCGACGATTTCTTTTTATGCGCCTCGAGTTTTGCTTACCCGATCAATCGATTATCATACTGTCACTTGTTACGACTAGGCATAAATACCAGGAGCAGACGTGCCAAGCTTTTCGATGCAAATCAATTTTACCTAACTACGTGCTATTATATTGTTTATTATCTAATTTCCAATTTTAATTTTCAATCAACCTACATTCAAAAATTTCTTTGTTATTTAATTGCCAAAATATTCTGGAATTTTTTAATATTTAAAATTATTAATCATTTTCCCAATTATTAATTATTAAAATATTATTGAAATTATTAATTCATTTCTAACCAATAAATAAATTATTCATTATTTTCCCAATTATTAATTATTACAAAATTATTGAAATTATTAATTAATTTCTAACCAATAAATAAATTATTAATTAATAATATTAATAATTACCAAAATATTGTGGAATCTTTTCATATTTAAAATTATTAATTATTTCCCCAATTATTAATTAAATTCTAACCAATAAATAAATGATTAATAAATTATTAACCAATTAAAAAATTTCTATGATTAATCCAAGAGTATTCTCTCCATTTCCAATTAATCTAAATTTAAAATTCGTTCGTTCTCCAACTAAATTAAAATATTTTTCATACCACTAAAATTTCGTTTCCCAATCGCACCCAGAATATTCCAAAATTAATTCAAATTTCCAATACCCCCGTATTTCCAATATCATCTTTACCTAGAATTTCTAATTTTCCTACGCCTCTGCACCCAAGAAAACAATTTTCCCTCTCCTCTCTCTACTCTTTATTCTCCTCAATACCGACAGCGCAATTTTCCATCCGCTTTTTCCCCTTTGCCCGAAGATACACAATTTTCCTCGAGCACGTTGCCCAGTTTCCCAGTTTTAAACGCGAAATTTCACGTATTACTACTCTGACACGAAGCATCGAATAAGCAATCGCACGCAACTCGGCCTCTGGAATTCTCCTCTTTTAGTCCGAAAACCACAAGGGAAGCCAGTCTGGTTGCGGCCGGAAACGAGGCTGCCGCAAACATCCCGACACTTTCGGCCTCGGCTCTCGGACCACGTGGTGGAAAAGAAGCGGAGGGGCATCGGCATAAAATAAACGGCAATTAACTTTCAAATTGGAGAGGAAGATCGGTTACCCTGGGAAATTAAAGGAACCGGTGGAGAGAGTTGGCAGTCGTGACTATACGCTGGAGAGAAGCAGAAGTAGTTGAAAGATCGCGTTGAAAGAGGCGGAGGACGAAGATCAAAGGAAGAGGAGAAGAAGGCTTCGGGCTGATGGAACGAAAATAAATGAGAGGGACATGTAACAGATGCTCAGAAGAGATTCGTCTTTTTGAGAATGTGGAAATGCACGTGGCCATTAATCTTTTCGATGGATTTTTGAGTTCCTTCGTCTAAAACCCCTCTGAAGAATGATTAGGGTGGGTCTCCATGAGGCGATGAAGGCGAAATGTGAGACTGAGAAAAGGTAGAGAATGGGGAATATATGGTGGTGAAAGTGTGTGGTGAAACATTTGGAAAAATATGTAATTTAAATATCGTAGAAGAATTTTTAGAATTATTAAAAATTACTAAATACTAAAAATTATTAAATAGATGGGTACTTTAGGTATAGGTATAGGTATAGATACTTTTGATAAAATGTTCAATTTTAATTTATAATAGCAACGTACAACGTGTAACTATATATATACTGATTTATATAAATTATTTTAATTATTGTCATGATACTGTATTATATTTTTACTATATTTAAGCAGGATCCTCTGAAGAATTTTAGGTATAGAGATATAGGTATAGATATGGGTGCTTATGATAAAATGTTCAATTTTAATTTATAATAGCAACGTACAACGTGTAACTATATATATACTGATTTATATAAATTATTTTAATTATTGTCATGATACTGTATTATATTTTTACTATATTCAAGCAGGATTCTCTGAAGAATTTTCCTATCAAAATATCACACAAATTGCCTAGTTCCAAAATAATAGAAACTAGAATAAAATTTTACTAAAAATGTTATTAATAAAAATTCTTTACTTTGGAAATGGATATAAATATTTTCTGTTAACATCCTAATATTTCTATTTGCTTTTACAAAATTAATTACAGTTTCCAAAATTTTTCCTTACATCCCAACATCTTATCAGAGAATTAACGAAAACCTACGATACTTTCTGAAAATATCCAGCTGTCAAAATAGTCGAATTCTTGGAAAATATTATCCCATTAGCTTCGCCCGATGGAAAATAAATTTCTAAGGAACAGGTAAAACTCGAAGAGAAAAATGGACGAGGGAAAGAAGAAGTGGCACAGGTCGAATTAATTTTCTCGGGGGTAAATTTCGTTCCTTCTCGTTGGCGGTCGGTTGTCAGATGCTCGTAAACACGCCAGCTAAATGCGCGGTCGGCCCGATTGCTTTTCTATATTGCAACAACCGATAATGGGCTCGTTACGAGCATTTGTCGACGGACAAACGGCTTATTCAACGAGCATTCTTACGGCGCTGCGTATTTCCACGCGGACACGTGTGCCAATAACTTGGAATTCGCGGCTCCCGCTCGGGCTACCCCGACGGAAACAGAAGCCACCCCCATTATCATTCAATTACCTCTTCTTCGCTCCGAATTTTTATCACATGCGTGTTCGTGCGAGAAATTTTGGAAAATTGCGAATATTTATTAGAATTACGAATAAGGATACACGATGCGATCATTGCATGATATTATCCTCGTTTGTTGGAGAAATAGGGTTGTATAAAAATATACACCATAAATAGAGAACTTGTATACTGATTTCAAGAAGGTACTTCGTTTCGAATATCAAGAGAATTAATCGAATTTTCTGATTAAATTATCCCATTATTTATTTTTATTTTATTTTATTTTATTTTATTTTATTTTATTTTTCTTCTGTTTGGAGATGATGGTCTTTCGATTACTATCTTCATGAGATTTCATAATATAGTTTGATTTGTATTTTTGGTGAAATATATTAATTAAAAATACACTGTTATAGTGTCGAGAAAGATATAATTTTGGAAAATTAATTCTTCTCGAAATATTCATCTTTATTCCTTCAAATTTTGTACTAATTGTAATCAGAGGAGGCTTAAGCCAAGTTTCTATTGCTCGAATCATTATTTATAAATTAAAGTAGATATAAAAGCAGATATAAATACCTATAAATTATTATACAGATATACCACCTAAACCATCTTAATTATTAATGATCCTTTTAACTATATTTAACTTGAAAACAATTTATAAACCAATAATCGACTCTTGGAATGAATATTGAAAAATAAATATCGATACAATGGGATCCAATTTAACATCATTTTCCATCATCATCGATAAATTAAACGAAGAATGGAATTTTAAAATTGACGAAGAATGGAAATTTATAATTAACGAAGAATGGAAATTTAAAATTAACAAAGAATGTAAATTTGGAATTGACGAAGAATGTAAATTGAAAATTAACGAAGAATGGAAATTTGGAATTTACGAAGAATCACGAAGTTGGACTCTATTTTTCATTTTTCCACTTTACTTCAAAATGTTACCTCATCTTCTATCGCTTAATTGGAGCATCATAATTGGAACATCCTCTCGATTAATTCCTTTGACTTATCCGCAGTCATCACCTTGGACGTATAACGGAACATTGTTTCATAGGTGTGACAAAAAAAAGTTAAACTGTTTCGATGACGCGTCGGCAGATATGTAACAATTCGTCGCTGGATTCGTGTGCGTTTAATCCTATGTTGAATTAGACGAGCCTGATATGTCACTGGGGCAGCGTGGGTGTTCTATGTATAGGTGTAATTATCTTTAACTCTCGTTTATTCTTAATTTATTTTCTGAAGTTAAATTGGACCTTTAAACCTGTCTCTTTTCATCCTGACGTATTAAACTTTGCCACAATCGAGTCCGAACTTTTCAAATCGATGAGCACGAGGAAAAGGGAATTTTTCAGATATTCAAAAAGAATTGTTCAAACGACAATTTCGAACAAAAATTAACCACGAGATATTTGCAGATATTTAATTATTTTTCTATAAAATTACATTGACAAATTAATTTATTCGAGTCAGAAAATTATGTAAAACAAATTCGAAGAATTCTGGTATGATATCACTGTTCCTCGGATTATAGGTAATGCTTCTAGGTTTTCCACAAAACGTGTCAGAAATCTCGCGTGAAATACGAAGAGTATATGTCGCAAGCAGCGCAATTAAATTTCCGGTGGGGTAAGATTCAACTGTAACTGAACATCTGCGAACAAAGCGACAAGCGTACCTAATCTTCGTGCACCGTATCTCTTACGAAAATCTCGAATTTGGTCGGTCACGAAACGCACAACTATCTAACAATTCTTTTATATTTTCTACAAAATGATATATAAAGAAGAACAGAATACGACATAAATTCCGATATTTTTATACAACAAAGTGCGATTAATTTAAAAATATTTTTCCAAACGGAGTCATAGATCAGGAAGATCCGAACAGAGTAGGTACACAGACCTAGTCCTCCAAGGGGTAGAACCCCAAATGCCAATATTCGGACACAGATCTCGGTCCACGCGAAATAAATCAAGCCCAAAGATAACCCAAATCAGAACTAAATAAAACTAGCCCTCAAAAAAAAAGAAAAAATAAAAGAAATTAGAATTAAAAATAAGGAAGAAGACAATGACTCACCTGTGTCGGCTACGAAATCGGTGATGAGCAATGTCTCGTCGTCTAGAGCAGTGACGAGGCTGTCCGTGCAAGTGTTCGTGTTCTCGATGCTGATCTTGATGCTGTCATCTTTGTTAAGCCGTGGATGATTGTTCGCGGCGGGGTTATTACCGGCGTGGCAGTTATTGTTGTTATTATTATTGTTGTTGTTGTTATTGTTATTGTTGCCGCCCTGCTGCTGGCCGAGGTGGTGATGGGGTGAACGAACGGATTCTGTGCTGCTGGTGTGCAAACTGTGCTCTTCCGTTCACCAGTCGTAGACTCGGTGCCCGTCGACCTCCACCTCCTCCTCCACCCCCACCAGCGCTGGTCACGGAACGGCCGCCACCGCCGCCACCCTCGCCCTCCCTGAAAACACATTTTGATTCATCATTAGACACGCTGTTTCCTCGCTTTTTCCCCTTTTCGCCGCGATTTCCCGACGCAGATCCTGCGGGGATCTTAGCGACGCGAGCGCCGCGAGCGGACGGTCCGGGAAGCGTGGACGTTACGGGTGGAATTGAGGTTAGGTGACTACGAACTCTGCGCTTGGGTAAATTTTGGAACTGAGGTTCTGGGATTCAAAAATGCGGAAATATAGAGATACGAGAGGTTAAAAGATGTAAAGGCACAGGTTCTGATATTAATGCTTTCGAGTTTAAGGAATAGGAATGTGACAATATAGAAGTATGAAGAGATAAAAGCGTGGGGGGCAAGGTTCTCGCATTTTGGTTTCTCGATTTAGAAATATGGACACGTGCAAATACACTCGAGATTAAAAATATAAAAATAAGAGAATATAAATTTAGTATTATATGTAGATATAAAAATTCGCGGAATTAATAATATGCGAATATATGTTAAAAACATTCCACATTTAATTGCACACTTAACAGAACATAAAGACGAATATGTAATATATGAGCGGTGTTCATTATAAATCAATTCGTAATGTGTAATTAAATATAACGATTAAATATAATTTATATCGATACAATGACGACTAGAGACGTCGAAAAGAGTCTTATCTATATCTATAATAATTAAATAATAGCACAAAAATATTATTTCAGTAGAAAATACGAATCTCGATTATTTTTTTATTTAGCCACCCCTGTTATATATTATCAATATTAATATATATATGTAAGAAAGCAATATTTAAAAATCGTGAGTGCTACGAACCTTCGACCAAAATAAATAGACAACACTGAAGCGAATTGACGTAAATTTGATAAAATTGGTATATAATTTACGAATTAAAATTTATGAAGAGGTACAAATTTTATAATAGACGTAGAACCAACGAAGTGAATTCTACGAAGGGGAAAGCAAGACTGAATCTTTCCGTGCTCAATGTCTCATATGGGACCCGCACTCGAGTAGGTGTGGTTTCGATATTTGTATCTCTGCTTTCGTAATTCGGGATTGATTCTTGGAATTGCTTCTTGGCGAAGTATCCGGAAGTCAAGTAGGTGGGTAAGTCGAAACAGATAATTCAAATTTAAGTTCGGTATATTTTACAGAATTTTTATGTTAATAAATACTCGATATCTATTCACCACGAAGTTTAAAATATCGTATTTCATGTGGGAAAAATACGATTATCGTTTGCATCGAGTGCTATATGATGAAATTCGTGAAATAAATTTTCTCTCAAATCGTAGATGATAAAAATAATTGAGAATTTTTATTTCTTTCGAGAAATATAATTTTTAATATTCCTATATTTTATATATATATATAGAAAAATTAATTAAGATCGATTTTTTAAATTATAACAGTACTACTAATAAGACGTAAATGAAATCTCACCTTTTAATTAAATTTTAACTCCTTGCTCTACAATTTAGGTTCCCATGGCACGTGCCATAGTCAACAGAACGGTCACACGTCGAGCCATCTCGTCCGAACGCGACGAAGAATAACACGCAACTGAGACAGGAAATCATCGACGAAGAATAACACGCAACCGAAGCAGCAAGGCTTCGACGAAAATTAATAACAAGCCTAACCCGTGGTGTTTACATTCAGTCCTATGTACAAACCACACCTTCTCACCTGGCTCACTCACATTTGGCCCGATTTCCTTACGAGTCTTATACGATATTCCAGATGAAGGAATTAATATTAATATTTAATAATATCAAATTAATATGTCAATTTATTACTTAACAATTATACTAGTTTCAACCGAATTATTTTACAAAAATTGGTCAAAAATTTTCAACTTCTCTGTTAGTAAGTGATTATTAAAATTATATAAAATCCAAGTGGACACGATTTTATATAATCACAGCAAACGAAGTACGTGGTTACGTTGATTAAATTTACTAGAAAAAATTGACGAAATTAATTAAATTGACGAAAGAATAAATAATTCTGAATCTAGAGACATAGTATACCAAATATAATGCTTGAAGTCTAAGAGATTTCAAAAACCCATATATTAACCCCAACCCCTCAAGGACCAAAATATTTTACAAAAATTGGTTAAAAATTTCCAACTTCCTTATTAGTAAGTGATTATTAAAATTATATAAATAGGATCCAAATAGACAGTTTTAAAATAATCTCAGTTAACGAAGTACGTGGTTACTTTGATTAAATTTATTAGAAAAAGATTGACGAAAGTAATTACAAATAATTCTAAATCTAAAGAAACAGTCTGCCAAATACAATACTTGAAGTCTAAGAGATTTTAAAAATCTATATATTACCCTCAACACCTCAAGAACCGAATTATTTCACAAAAATCGATTAAAAATTCTCAACTTCTCTGTTAATAAATGATTGTTAAAATTATATAAACAGAATCCAAATAGACACAATTTTAAATAATCACTGTCAATAAAATATGGGATTACTTTGGTTAAATTTACTAAAAGAAATTTAACAAAATCAATTACAAATAATTCTGAATCTAAAGAAACAGTCTACTAAATACAATAATTGAAATCTAATGGATTTCAAAAACCCATATATTAACCTCAACCCCTGAAGAATCGAATTATTTTACAAAAATCGATGAAAAATTCCCAACTTCCTTGTTAATAAGTAATTACATAAATAATAAATTCTAAATATTATTATATTAAATTTATTAAAAAAAATTTAACGAAATCAATTACGAATAATTCTGAATCTAGATAAAGAGTCTACCAAATAGAAGTCTGAGATTTCAAAACCCCATTCAGCAAGATCTCCAAATCCCAGAGCCACTCGAATCTCGAACGAGGGGTCAAAAAAAATTCGATAAAGGGAATTGAAAAAGCGAATTTGGGACAAAAGCAGGAACGAAAGAAACATCATCACTTATCCCCATCCCATCGACCCCGAAGGAAATCATTTCCCTGGAAACGAGTAACCCAAATTGGACCCTAATACGCGGCTGAAGACGCCTCTTGAAAGTGTGTGCACGCGTGCGTGGGGCCGATTCCTTTTCCAAACGACCAACGAACTCGTCGGGGAACGAGCAACTGCGATATCTTAATCGTGATCGGTACACACGTGTCCCGTGCGTCTGACTTGCATGTCGGGGCACCGGTATACCCTTGGAATCGTCCAAAGCGACTCGTTTGCAAAACCGTCCTCGACCAACGTTCCACTTCTTAATCTCTTCATCTGCCGGAATCGTCCTTGCGATTCTGGACGCTCGCTTATCGCCGCGTATTATCGCCCTCGACAAATTGCCTCCTTGATTCCTGTCTCTCACCCTCTCTCGCTCTATCTCTTCAGCTTCTCTATCCTCGGTATCTGTGTGTTGTCGATTGATCACTCTTCAATGGGACGCTAGAGCCGGTTCCGAGGATTGATTTTATCATTCCACGAATTTATCATTCGCGTGGACGGTGTTGCAAGCGTTCAGAATCTTGGGAAATTTATGGAAATTTTATGAGAGGAGAGAGGGAGTCTTATTTTTTGGTTTTGTTTCACTTTGTTTAAATTTTTCCTGGGTGTGTAAATCTTGGTATTTTACAGGGTGGACTGGTCGATGGATTTATTATTCGCGTGGATCCAGATAATATAAATATTAAGGGGGCCAGGGGTGAATCTTGGGAATTTTATGGGAAGCGAGACAATTTTTTTTTATTTTTGTGTCACTTTGTTTAAATTTTTCTTGGATGGAATACTTTTGGTACTTTGCAGAGTTGACTGGTCGATGGATTTATTATTCACGTGGATCCAGATAATATTATAACTATTAAGGGGGCCATGGGTGAATCTTGGGAATTTTATGGGAAGGGAGAGGGAATTTTAAAAAATTTTTGTCTCACTTTGTTTAAATTTTTCTTCTGTGAGTTACTCTTGGTACTTTGCGGAGTTGATTCGTCGATGGATTTATTATTCACCTGGGTCCAGATGGTGTTCTAACTACGAAGGGGGGCAAGAGTGAATCTTGGAAATTTTATGGGAAGGGAGTGGGAATTTTTTTTTATTTCTGTGTCACTTTGTTTAAATTTTTCATGGGTGGATTATTCATGGTACTTTGCAGAGTTCATTGGTCGATGGATTTATTATTCGCATGGGTCCAGATGGTGTTCTAACTATGAAGAGGGGCAGGAGTGAATCTTGAGAACATGAGACAATTTTCTTTTATTTCTGTCCCACTTTGTTTAAATTTTTCTTGAGTAGTCTCCTCATGGTATTTTTCAGAGTTGATTGGTCGATGGATTTATTATTTACCTGGGTTCAAATGGTGTTGTAAAAATTGAGAATTTTATGGAAAGTGTGAGTAGTCCTCTTCTCATCTTTGTCTTACTTCTATTTAAATTTTTCTTTCGTTGGTTAATTTTTCTTAAATAAGTAACTCGTGGTGCTTTGCAAGATAGAGTAGTCAAAAGTTCTATTATACACGTGGGTCCAGAAGATGTAAGAATTGAGGGGTAAATCTTGGAAATTTTATGGGAAGTGAGACAATACTTTTAAATTTCTGTCTTACTTTGTTTCAATTTTTCTTAGATGACTTACTCGTGGTATTTTGCAAGATAGATTGGTCGATGGATTTATTATTCACATGAGTTCAGAACATGCTGTACGAATTTGGAAATGAATATTAAGTATTTTCACTGACTAGGTGACGAAGTTGTTGAATTTTGAATCAATTTTATTTTCGCCTCACTTTACCTAAATTTCTACTTCCTTCATTAATTCCGTTTGAATGTGTCACTCATGCTACTTTGCAGGATTGATTTATTATTAATTCGAGTCTAGATGATGTTGTAAGGCTTTAGAATCGGATATTTGGAATTCCATATAACACCTGTCAACGAGGTTAATAAAAAGGTACCAAAGTTGTTGAAATTTAAACAGGTTTTGTCGAATAAATTATTCGAAATAATTTATAGGATTAGGTCGATTTGTCATTC